CCCCCCCCCAAGAGGGGTGCGAGAAGGGAGGTTGTGCATTCACATGACATTGGAATGAAATTACCAAAAAGGCATAGAAACTTTTTCCTTTTTTGAATGAATGTTGTTGGAGCATTTATTTGCAGTAGTATAGTGTACATGTATACAAGTGTCTCCACACACAATTTAAGGGCCCATTCACTCTGGATACGTTGTGTTGTGATACACTTTTCAACGGATGCTAAGGGAAGGGCACCAAAAAAATAAATGGGGGTAGTTCATACAGCTCCATTCCATTGCTTTGGGAAAAAAAGTAGAACATGCTCAACGTAATGCAATGTAACTGGTGTGAACTAGCTCCATTCATTTTTTTCGGTGCCCTTCCATTACCATCCCTTGAAAAATCGGAAGGTATAATTGGAAGTCAACGGACCCTCCTGTTTTTCTTCTGATCTTGCTGTCAATTCATCCTTATTGATAAATGCACTTTAAAACAACGTCCCTTAGGCCCCCTTTAAGGTGTCTTCATGGCTGCCTCCCTATGAAGTCTCTTGGGCCCGGCCTCCATTGATTGCTTACATCTTGCAGCGAACATCTGCTTCTCCTGGCCGCACCTCAGCAGTACATCTCTATTCATTTCTTTGGAGCTTGTCTCGCAGTCAGGAGGTGGAGGTTGAGTAGGCCCAAAGAATCAATAGGGATGTATGTGCAGATGTAGCCAAGAGGAAGAGACCTCCATCGCGGGATGTAAGAAAGTCAACAGAGGCTGGGCCCATCGGAACTCAGTACGTATTCATCAACATGATGACACCTTAAAGGGGCCTAATGGACAAGTGCACTTGTCCTTTAAAAAGGCCAGTCTTCCCAGATGAAGTATTTTAGTTATAAGTGGAGCCACATTAACTGGCATTAAGTGTGTCTCAGATATTCCAACAGTGAGCTATCCATGCCATAAGTTCCAGATAATGGGCACATCAGGCGGGCAGACCAGAAATCCCCCCAATAGGGTCTCCAAGAGAAAGTGGAGGCTGTCTGATAGTTCAACTCTCCAGCATCCAACAAGCACTGTTCTGGGAGGACCACCAGTCCACCCACAACAGTTTTGAGTGGGGCCGGCTCTTTAATTTAAACCAGTTGACCTTTTCTGACTTCATTGTTTGCTGGATAACATAGACAAGTGGTGGTCAGCTCAGTAGACCGAGGTGGCTTTAACTGCAAGTCTGACATCCCTGGGGAAGAAGGGGGTGCTTGAAAGTCTCCTGCAGCACATCTCAAGTCTCTAACCGAAAATATAGCATGTCCCTGGTCTCATCTCCGCACATAATAGCATATGTAATGCTAGAGAAAATGGTCATAGACTGCTAACGTACTGCCGGAGATGATCAGTGACCAAGCTGGAGATTGGAGAAGTTCTTCAGGAGACCATTCGAGACTGGGACATGTCACATGACATGGCTAGAGATTACTGTGATTATGACCCTGTTGCAATCCCATGCCTCTACTATTGGCTGGGGACATAGGTCGAGATAGAGGGCATCAAACTTTCAGTGGTTGGCTTCACGCCGCCCAGTGCAGAGCTGGCCACGCGTAGGGAAGAAAAGGTCACATTTAATAATAAATTGCGGAAGGCTTTGGTAGAAATTCTGAACGTTGTATCCATATTGAAGGAACACAGACTTTCCCCCGTGGTTTCTGGACTGGCTTAGTCCTCGACCACTTCGCATCTACGCGAATAATGGGATTCACGTGCCAGCGGTAGATTAATGGTGGATCCTGGAGGGATTTCCTTAACTTCATCTTTGTGGTTCCCATGTGTTCTCCCACTATAAGTCAGGATCAGTCACAAGCCTCCCCCTAATGTGTTCCTGTCGGATATCCCGTCCTACCATCCACAGATGTTTTCATCATCTTTTCGGGTTACGCTCTTGGCAAAGGGACCGCTCGTCTGTGTCTACTCCGAATGGATATTACACAGGAACGCGCAGCACCTTAAGGAGCAATCGGCCTCTGAATATTTCTCAATTTGAGGAATTACTAAATTTTTTGTGATTGCTCTCGAGCCGAACTGATCTGTAAATTAGCGTCTCTCTGCCTCCCTCCACCACAACAGGTTAAAGTCCAAGTCCACGTGGAGGAGGCAGATTATAAAATCTGAATTCCGCCTTCCCTTCAGGCTTGCACAGTTGTACCGACTCCTCTCCTGGCATGAAATTGCTTACTCTGGTGTCATTGTACACTGTGAGCTTCTCACAATGTGCATTAGATAGATAGAGCCCGCCTCTAGGTCCTGCATAATCTATCCCTATCATTCATTGGATTTCAGTTCTTTCAATCATGGGGGCTCATCATCACATGAGGGTGTTACCCAGGGTGGTCTGAAATGCATCCTGCCTAGGAACGCCCACTCCTCCAGACTGACCTCCACCCAACAAGACATTTTGATATGTGCGGCCAGTCTTGTGACCCAGGCACCTCTACTAGACAGGATAGGCAGATAATTGAACTCGAGTGAAGTTAAGCAGTACAGATTGATCAAGAAGCACCCCAAGGCCAGGGGTAGGCAACCTCAAGACTCCAGCTCATATCGAACTACAAGTCTCCTGTGGAATCGCAAGCTTTTGACAGCCACAGGCATGACTCCCAGAAGGCATGATGGGTCGGTGTAGTTTCACCACAGCTGGATGGCCGAGGATACCTGCGCTAGGATGCTGATTGGACAGTGAAGGAGTAGAAGCATACTGATTAGGTTATACTTATAATGTTCTCTACTATTGCACACCAATAGAGTGCTGTTGCATATCAGCTCACAGGAAGCTAATATAAAGTGAATGTAGGTATTTAATTCTTAAAGGATAGTTAACAGTATGTGTGTGTGTGTATGTATGTATGTATGTATGTATGTGTATGTGTATATATATATGTATATATATAT